ATATATATATATCCAGGTATCACGACGCGACGTGTCCGACTACAACTAACTAGGCCAGCGGAATGCGGAGCCTTCTTAAGCGACCAGTGCTGATTGATGTTGGTGGGTGTGGTTGGTTTTAGCTCTCAGCTAGCACGTTTTGAAAGGCAGTTAAAGGAGCTGCTTGAGATAGCTTATCACAGTTTGACCGTTTCTGTGTTGTGCGTTTGGAACGCCCACCGAAACACATGGACAGCTTGGCACAAACTGATGCGTGACCGGATTTGAGAAGAGTGCCTTATTATGGTCAGTGGCCTTATAGGCAACCCCACCAGTTTGGCTTACAGCGATGTAGTCGATTTGCTTTCGGTGTTGGCTCGAGTAGGGTGGACACCAAGTGGCCCACCGACAGTTGGATCGCACTGGTGAGGATTGGACAGTGGGCGGAATATAGTGCCAACAACTGTTCCTCTTTTTCCGAGCGACAGGAATACCGTCCGAAAGGACCTCCGCTGCGCACCTCACTCGAAGATAGCCGGCCCACTCTAGCGTTCATGTCTCTTCCTAAAATCGATACATCAGCTCAACTCGCTTTCCACAAGAGTTTGTGTAGTTTTTGGGCGGTGGTGGCCAAGTGGTTAGTGACCTGGGTGTCCCAGGTTCAAACCGCTCCACCGCCGCGTGTCTTTCCTGTCTGTATTTTCTCCGGGCAGCCTTTGTATGTCCGCAGCCCCCTTCCTGAAAGTTGACTGTACATTTGTTTATTCAATAAATAGAAAAGGGAAGTAAAAATACATTTATTTATCATTATTATATTGATGATTAATCTTTGACCATATCTGGACTGCAGTCCTTTGGAGCGTACGCGGACACAGCAAAGTTTCGTCTATCGAGGCGACGGCTGTTTATTTACACGAACCTCTGAGTTTCATGACACACAACCTACTGTAGACTGGGAACTAATTTAGGAGCGCGGTTTCTATCACCTCGTTAGCGGTTAGCCGTGAATCGGTGGCCTTCCCCCTATCCGCGACCTGGGGACGCGCTCACTAGCATGCAGCTCTGCTCTGCTGGGCGATGTGTAAAAAACGCCATTCATTGTGGCTGGTTTACAGTTCATGGGATCATACGCCCTTTGGACGAGGCCAAACCCCCAAGGCGTCCAGTACACCTTGATGCCTAATTGAGCCAGTGACCAGTGCCACAACCAGGAAGATGTGGGTGTGTAACTTTCGTACGCCTCTTGTTTGGTTTAAAATCAGGGGTTTTAGCCAACTCCCCTAGGTGAACTGCCAGTGGTTCATCGACCCGGTTGTAGCCCCAGATGTTGACTTTTCGTCCTCTCACTTTAGTGCGAGTATCCTGCCACGGGAAGGCAATGGGTAGGGGTTCCTCAAAAGAGGCTATTTGCGACGCTTGGTCACCAGGTGCAAGGAAAGGTGACACCCACTCCCGACCAAACTGAGGCTTTCGGAGGCCGACTTTTTGAAGCCGAGTTTGGAGCCAATTCTATGCAAGTAATTCATTCTGATTGACCCATCCTTCGGATATCACCGTCACACAAAACTTCCCAGTCAGTCATTCACTCGGGACGCATAATGCTTAATTTTTGTTTGTTCTGGAGCTCATCTAGGATTACCGGTAAACAGCCTTCCATGGAAAAGATTCTCGGTTCATATCCCGTGCGATTCTTGGCTATACACTAATAAACAGCTGGCACGGAGAAGAAATTCAGTGCAACTGTTGTAACTTCAAGCGAATTGATCAATCGCTTTCTACCGGGTACCCCACGAAATGATTGGTGTTCCAACTGTCCTGCGCCACATATTGGGCCAAGTTTATCACGACATCCGTCCACTTATAATGAACTGGTTTGTACATAATCAGAAGAGTTCTTTTGAGTGAGTGGCTCCCAGAAATTAGATCTTTCACTGTATTTCCCGGATGGACATTTGGTCTACCATGCCAATATCGATGGGAATAGACTGACAAACATCTACCTTCGTATCTCAGCCTCGTTATATAGTTTCTCACTTTTATTGTGTTATTTATCATACTCACCGCGTTCGCTCGATCCTTATAGTTTAGTATGGGGGACTAAAGGTGATAAAAGCAACGCAGTTTGCCATGACCTTGTAAATAATTGTCACTGTACGGGTTGTGTTCGAGTCCCACCTCCACCGCCTGTATTGCTCATTTTCTGTGTGGCA